TGACCTTACAAGCATATGTGGTTACGGACAGCATAACAATACTTTCTCCAAAGTGTCATAATATAAAGTAACAGAGCTGTAGGAAAATTAAACTACTCCATTACAATTACATATGTCATAATAGTATTCCACATGTTCCATTTCATAATCTGAATGCAGTGTTTCCAACATCACACTCCTGTAACCTTCACTTTTCTATCAATATTTATTCTAATGTTTAAAAATATTAATTCATATGTCCTCAACCACTGTTTATACCAGAATTGGAGTTTCTTATTCAGCAGAATATTAACTGTGGAAGATAGCGGACTATGTTCTAAAGCAAAATATAAATCCATGCCCTTTTGAAAAGTTTTAAAAATTACTGTTTATTTTTGTAAAATTGAATATCTCAAAAACTGTAAGGATAGCCATATCATGTGAGGCATTTGTTTTCTCTGAGCTCTATCAAACACAAAAAAGAAAAAAATCATGATTATGTCAAACAAGCATCCATTACCATACAGTGCAACATTTGACTTTAGTCGATGTGAAGAAATAATATTCTCCTTCCATTGTGTCGTTTAACTTCCTTCTCTGGGCTACGAAAATGCATTTTTACTGCATTTTTTAATATCTGTACCTTAAAGTGGCATTATTTTATGAAAATTGTGAAAAAAAAATATAGAACAAAAATGTCAAGTTTGAATGGTTCTCAAGCAATAAGCAAAAAAAAAAAAAACTTTTTAAAGTAACATGACTTAGAAAAATCTCAAGACATCTAAAGGAAAGGTATGAGTCTCCATGCTATCTGAAAGTCACATGGTGGGATCACACTCCTCCACATACTTTATTTCCAGATTATGAAAATTCTCCAACTAGAGGCACATCATGTAAGAATATGTAAATAATATAACATAACATGTACTTAATAAGAGGGCCATGAAAGGCAATTTTTTTCCTCTAATAATAAGGAAAGAACTATCATTGTTATGACCATGGTTAACAATCTGCAAGTTACTCACCAAAAGATATGGATCAGGAAAATCAAATTCCTTCATACAATGTTCAATTGTGTCCAGTAAGCTCCTCACGGACAAATTACCATAGGCACTACAAAATGAACAGCTCACATTATGATCTAAACAATCACAAAGAAGCTACCTAGCAATATACAATGCTGAAGCAAACTTAAAAATGAATTTGTATGTGAAAGGTACCAATATGCAAAACTGTAAAAGTTTCATGCTGTGGTGAAGTTATATTTCTGTATTACAGTTAAGACTTACAATGGCTGATGTTTGAGGTAATACAGCCTAGATACATATTTTTCCTTGAATTTAGATGCTCTCTCTTTGGCTGTCAGACTATGAGGTTGACTGCTGATGGCTCGGGAAACAAATTTGTCCACAGATTCTTCAAAACATTGGAGCCAGTATTCCCTGAAACAATGAATACTATCCTGACTTACATATTTCACATACTGAATTATATCAGTTTCTCTACAACAGCAATATGAATATGGTATGTTGTATGCCTATAGCAGATTGTTACTCCAAAATTGAACGTCATATTTCTCAAAAGTGGTTCATTATACCAAAATATATAAACACTATAAAACGTTAGTCTGCATGTATTTAATGAATTTTAACTGACTTATTACTCATTTAGTGGTTATGTGACAAGAAAACTTATTATATTCAGACCTTATGTACATTTCTCTGCAGATTTACAAACTGGAAAAATATTCCAATGTCAAAATTAATTAAATATATTTACTAACAATAAGATTTGTAATTTAAGATCTTAAAGTTTGTGATGATGGTGTATTAACATAAATATTAACTTTTTGGACATTGTCCGCTGTACTGTTTTTTATTTAAAAACAGCGTTTCAGAGATTGGACTGTCTCTGTCCTCATATGAAAGTCCACTCTGTTGGGCTCAATTGATAGAGCTAGTCCGCATCTCCGGGACATGACTTATAAACAAAAAACAGGATGACTGATAATGTCCAAAAAAAGTCAATAATTTTAAGATTACAGTTTCTTTGCATCTTTGTTAACTAGTAACATAAGCTCCATGATTTCAGACAGCAAGCGAACCATACCAACTGAGCAACCGCCGCTTGTCAGCGAAGTTTAGTGCAAACTCTTGCGGGAAGAGGGTGTCACATGGTCAGTGCAACGAATCCCCAGGGCCGTTAATTTCGGTTTTCTAGACCGGAGCCACTATTTCCTTGAAATAGTTCCTCAATTATCATCATTAGGCTGAGTGGACCGTTCCAGACCCACTACTTCCCTGAAAAAAAATCTGGTAGCGCCGGGAATCGAACCCAGAACTCTGGATCTGTAGCCAAGAATGCTGACCACTAGACCACAGAGGTGGTCAACTAGTAACATTCAATACATATTAAAAAAAAACCATTTTGGGGAACAGGTAACAAAATAAGTCTTTTATACATCGAACCATACCAAAAATTGCTTAAATTTTTGGTATGAAAATCTAAAGGGAAATGATCACATGGCATACATATGACACAGACGTGAACACATTAAGATGAATCTTGAGAAACAGGGTGTGAGGATGCAGACTGTGCCCACACTGGGATCTAGTGACAAGCTCTTGTTAAAATATTATGGCTCTTCTGCATCCTAAAAGGTGGAATATTTGATACCTGAGAGCCTCTTAGTTTCTCAAAGATTTTTCAGTTACATCTGATTTCAGAATATTGAAACAAGTATATTCTTAAGATTTCCTGAAAGAGGATTCTAAAAAGGACACAACTCTAATGCCAAAATTATTACTTTTATTGTATTTTTATATATTTATGGTTTATTCAATGATGATGTTGATAGCTCAGACACTACAATGTTAAATGGCAAAACAATTACTGAATACACAAATGGAAAGGCTGAGGAAGGACCTGATCAGTCAGCCCTAATGTGAGGTATGAACCCAACAATTGCCTGGAGGAACTGAGGAAAACTATGAAAAACCTCAGTCAGGATAGGTGGTGTCCTGGCATTACCATTTGAGTCAACTTGCATGATGTTGCTGTTGAAGATAATTGTTAACAGTGATGGTGCATGTTTTTAGGTCATATTGTTTCTACCTCTCTGAAGAGTCTTAAAAATAACCACAACAATGTGAATGTAAAGAAAGTTTTGTTAGGTACCTGGCCTCAGTGTCTTGTGTGAGGTCAACTGTGTCAGGTACATAATTAGCTGGATCACACAGAAGAGGGCAGTATGCGACAGCAGATTCCCAACGATCAATTTCCAGCTGATCTACAGGCACACCCTGTGTTGACAGAACCTGTATTGGAATGGGGCTGCAGAGACCTGAGCTACCGGCATAATTCTCCAACCAGGAATATTTATCTGCATCTGTAACACATGGCATTTCAGTATTTGTTTGGAGATTTGGTATGATGAAGACTGTATCCAGAAATGTGATATTTTTACAGCTTAAAGCCAGAGAATGGCTTTCAGCCACTGACTGTATATGGTGTCATGGTAACAAAAGAATATACCGATATCATAAAATACACCTTTTCTTCAAAATTTTAATTCTAACATAATAATTATATTATTTACTTCAGCTGCTGGATACTGTAAAATAAAAAACTCCATCAATGTGTTGCCACATCTGCTACACATTATTATGAGCAATTACTGCCAGAAAGAGAACCTGTTCCAAAGTTGGGCCCAAACAGAAATAAAACATTAAAGTTGTAAAAATGAAAAACTTGAAAGCCAAAATTATAAAAAAATCTTCAAAGTCAACATTACACCAGGCACTCCTGAAAGTAGGCCTAATTGCAACAAATGTGGACAATTTCCATCCAAGTGACTGTTTACAGAATGTCAAGTAAACAGGACCCATTATGTTACAAGCTGCAAGTAAAGATGCAATGACAGGTAGTAGATGTTGAAAACTGGAAAACTGTACTATAAAGTTTGAGAGCTAATTATGAGTCTAGGTATTCCAATGGGGACAATAATAAAATTCATATCATTTCCTTCGTGACACAACTGAAGCTCTACAAACAGATTCTTGTCATACTACAACAAAAAACTCTGGCGACACAAATGAGAAAACATTCCCTTAAAAAATTCCATGAACAATGACAGCGTAAGGACACTGCTGTTAATATCACAAACTTTTAGAACTATTTTCAGTTTAGGAAAATAGAAAGTACACCCCATTTGTGTATTACTGCACAACTCACCACACTCTTCTGCTCCCTTGAGGAAGGCTCCTATAGCCCCTAAGTAGCCTTCATGCCTCAGGAAGAGAGCCTGCACTTGACCTCTGCTCCAGTAGTTGATTGAGAAGGATACTGTATGCATGCTCAAAGGATGATTGCGGAGAAAATACCCACCAAAATACACCTGGACATTCATGAAACACAGAAATTATGCACATTATTAAATTCTATAATAAATCCAGTATAAAATATGAAGCACTGTGTGAATACTTCATCCTTGATAAAGTGCCTTTATTTGTGACTGCAATATTCCAGCCATCTTGGTGGATGTTTTGAAACTTTCTCTAATCCCACATACATGCGAATATTACAATCCCTGACACAGAACAATACTGCATCATTTGGTGCTCAGTAAATGACTGTCATTCAACACAAAAGCATAAGCATTTTTGATTTACTGTTTATAAAATGTTTCTGCGCTGTTTCTGAAATATAGCTGTTCCAAGGAAGGGGTAACTGAAAGTAAACTTCTTAGTCTTCCTCCTCCCACACAAACAATATAAAAGATATAACAAGTTTCAAATCTAAATTCTACCTAAAGTGCTTTAAAAAAGCTTGGCAAAGGAAAATATCTTGGAGAATTAGGATATACTAAATGTAATGAGGCAAGTACATAGAGAGGAGGGACTGGAATACATTCTGTCTGGCATAAAATATATCCATCAGTGGCTTAGCATGTTCAATATTTGTCTCTTTTCTTTCTAGGCTTTGCCTGCATTTAGTTGTCGCAAAGCACTAAATATGAAATATGTCTGCTTTAAATCATCCTGTACCATTATTTCAAAATTGATTCCCTTGAAATGTGTCCATGATTTAAGCAACATAACAAGTGAACACAACACTTTCAATTCAGCTACATAACAAAATACAGAGTTAAATATATTACTGCATAAACATCTAAAGATGTTTTCATCTTCTCCACCTGAAAAGTGGCATTTAGTGACTCAAACATCTTTTCCAAAACACTACAGAAATATGGGCCACATCAAACCACTACGGCTCTTGAAGACCTACACACAAACTTGTATATTCATTTCAAATATGCACCAGATCCAACTCCCTCCCCCCCAAAAAATTAGTTTAAGTTCATACATCCAAAATAATATTAATTGTGTCTGTCTTCATTTTCGTGTAATAAACTGTGGTTACTAGCACATTGGATTACCTTATTCAGCTTATGCATCATAGCATAAAGACTAGCCACTTGGCCTATATCGTTGCTAATGGTGAACAACAAACTGCGAGCCAGATCTGCTTCTGAGAACTGAGTATCTGCGAAGTAAAGAAAATATTGGATATTCACAAGCAAGGAATAACATCTTCCTATTGACAGCAAGTCCTGGAAGAACAAGAATCTACGAGCAACATCAGTATACTCCAATTTATGTGATATTGCAGTCCTAGAAAACATAAAAAATTCTGCCATACATTTGATGTTAAAAATTACAGTTATTTTCCTCAACGGATATTTTCCAGGATGGGAAACTTGGTGACTGTCATCTTTTCTTATTATTTAGAAGTGAAATTATATTCCAATAACTAAGAAAAAACATTTATACATATAAATATGGCATAATATAATGCTAAGCTGTGTTGCTGATGTACACATTTACATAAGCCTATACATGGGAGAAATTAGCATGACTTCCAAAACGTGGCAAAGAAAGATACAAGGCATATAATGAGCCACATATACAAAAAAAAAATGAAGAAAATTTGTCATAACAGGTATTAATATTTTGAAAAACAGTTAATACAATTAAGACACCTGCATAAATTGGATGCAGACTGAAATGCCTGAGCCAAATATTTTTTTTCCAGACCCATAGAATGAAGTGCTACAATCTAAACCTTCCCAATACTTCTGTTTCCAACCTCACTCCCATCAATTACGATGGGCAAACACTACAAAAAACAGGCACATACCCTGTTTAATAAACACAAAACTCCCATCTATTGTTCCTATATATCAGGCATGTCCAACTTCAAAGAGGTTGTGATCGACTTTCTAGTGTCAAAACTGCCAGTGATCTACCACCCTCTCTTACCGTCGTACTTTGCTTTAATAAAAAACATTGGTAAAAATAACACGCTGCATTATGTTTGTTGTAAAAGCAACATACAGATAACTTTAATACATACTTTCCCTTCAAAATCTGGATATAATCATATTATATTACAAGTGAATTTACATGATTTTCACTTATAATTTCCTTATAGGCCTATGAGATCAACCAAAAATCATCCCGCGATCAATGTGTGGGACATGCCTGCTATATATGAACCATTAGAAGGAGTGTCAAAGGCCAAAAGAGCAAATATACAGCAATCTGGATGCAACTAGAGTGTAGTAGTACATCTGCAGAGTTGGTGGACAAGGCTTCAGTGAAAAGTGCCGTCTTCTGGGATGTGGCGCTGCATAGACCTTGTGTGAACCGACATCTTGTACCGTATGGAGGCAATACGTTCCTCTGAAACATCAGTTCACACAAGATCTACATGGCACCACATTCCAAGAAGCTGGCATTCTTCATAGTCACTGGCGTGAAAACCTCAAATCTTACAAGATTTCAATGGTTGACCTGCATCTTCCAATAGAGGATACGAAAGGGTTGACATCCTTTGTCCATACTACAAATACAGTAATAAATTAGAAGACATATTTTTAAATTACTGATACCTAAATTACTGAACACTGTACTCATATAGAGGCTGTGTGGTGGGCAATGACATAAAACGTTGAGCTGTTCAGTAGCCACGGTCATGGCACTAGGAGGCAGGGTTTACTTTGTTCATGGGTTACTTGCTTTCAGTACTGAAACTATACAGNATGGGTAAACATGATTGCGAGAGACGATGGTGGTAACAGCGGTTACTATCGCTAGCGTTACTAGCAACACAGCGCCAGGCAACACGGGTGCTTATTACGTGGCCGTTTTCTGTATTGTATGATCGAGGCTACATGAGGCGCAGCAAAGGCTATTCACAGTCAGTCCTGGAGCTACCTCCGAGTTAGTCCTGGAGCGACCTCCGAGTTAGTCCTCGAGCTACCTCCGAGTTAGCCAGCAACCAGTCAGTTGTATTGTGGCATTTGGAGTATAGTATTTGTGATACTGCAGATAGCAGTAATCGTAAATCTGTAATTTGGGTGATTGTAAGTGCGAATGTGAAATAAAATTCGCTATATAAAATATGGCGTGAAGTTATTTGTCGCGATATACGCCCAATACGCGACAATAGTCACTGGCGTGAAAACCTCAAATCTTACAAGATTTCAATGGTTGACCTGCATCTTCCAATAGAGGATACGAAAGGGTTGACATCCTTTGTCCATACTACAAATACAGTAATAAATTAGAAGACATATTTTTAAATTACTGATACCTAAATTACTGAACACTGTACTCATATAGAGGCTGTGTGGTGGGCAATGACATAAAACGTTGAGCTGTTCAGTAGCCACGGTCATGGCACTAGGAGGCAGGGTTTACTTTGTTCATGGGTTACTTGCTTTCAGTATTGAAACTATACAGTGTCAATTTGTAAGATGATAAACTAGGAAGGTTTTAGAAGGAAAGAATTGTGGCCTAATGGAGGTATTCTCCTGACATTTGTGTGGAAGGATGTAAGAAACAAAAGAAAACCCCAGTCAGCACAGCCAGTACCCTGGTCAAGATACCGACTGAGCACCTCCCAAATACAAGCCTTCTAGACCAGCCTGTTTGCCATTTGGCAGCATGCAATGTTGTATTCCTCTTGTGCAGAGGTCATGTCTCACCGAATTGACCGTACTATATTGCAACTGATCTAATATAGGTGAGGGTGATTGTGGAGCAATTGGTGGAATGAAGATTGGCAGGGGAAACCGAAGTACTTGGAGAAAACCTGCCCCAGCACCCTTTTGTCCACCACAAATCTCACTTGACCAGACCCAGGATGGAAACCAGGCCGCCGCAGTGGGAAGACAGTGACTAATCCCTTGAGCTATGGCATGGCCAATATTCCTCAGTTTGTTTGGCTCTACTGTTCTCCAAAGAAACCAGAAATGGGGGTTTCACTGTAGTGCAAATACTGCAGCAACAGAAAGAAAACTGCTTGTAGAGGTGAAAGAAATTATTTTGAGCACACATGATATGTTGTAATAATATGCAGGAAGGATGAGACGGAATATAACGCACCAGGCATCAAACCTGGGAACACTTGTTCCCTTGCTCAGATTCACTTTGTGCCATGAAGAGTTCATCTGTATCAGTGCCTGTCCAACTATCTCTCCTTTGTGACAAGGGCTGATATGTTGTTAAATCGAGAAACATCACATGAGGGAGCCACTGTACATCTGCATAAGAAATATGTACTGCCAGCATTTGCAGATTTTCACCTTGGTAACAAAAGCAAAATTATCTAAATCAATAAGAAGTCCTGTGAAGGATTTTATTTTCCTAGTGAAAAGTCTTGTGACAGTATGAGTATGAGTATGAGATCATTTATGTAAAGGACTATGGTTCTCCCCGATGTCTACAACTACACAATACTTCACCTGCATTGAAATTGCGGTCCTTGTGACAATGCATAGCTTTTCCAAATGAAGATGCAATCAGATCACCAGGCAGTCCAAGCATTTTGTAGTCACCACCATATATGTCTCGCACCAACATATCAACATTTCGATGGTCACCCTTTTCTGCCAATTCTAATAACTCATCAAATTCCTGTGACAAACACAAATTACCTGTATTTTCATTACCGAAGGTACAACTCTCTCTTGCCTGCACTGTATGTCATGACTGATTACAGGTGACTGGCAAAAATGTGATGTTTAATTGCAGGTACAAAAATAAGATTCCTTCAAACTGCATAATCATGCTGTTAACTGAAACATGGTAGTTTTTTCTTTATTGCTAGTGGGGTGGGACTAAGTCCCTTGCACTGCGGCCACTTCTGGCCTATTGCACCAGCCCCAGATGATAGGTGAGGGTGATTGTGAAGCAATTGGTGGAATGAAGGTTGGCAGGGGAAACCGTAGTACTCGGAGACAACCTGCCCCAGCACCACTTTGTCCACCACAAATTGCACTTGACCAGATCTGGGATCGAACCCGGGCCGCCGCAGTGGGAAGCCAGCGACTAACCGCTTCAGCTATGGCACGGCCTAAATATAGTAGTTAGTACATTTTGGAATATTTAAACCTAGAGTGAGTTCAGATGTAGCACACATATCAGTATTTCATATATTCACTAAACTGATGATCTGGAACTTGTTGGGGGAAAGCAATATGAGAGATACTGTGACACTAACTCCTATGTTTTATGTTACTTTGTTTCAACAATGCTCAACTAAAGATTTCACAAATTACACACTACAGTATATGGATATATATTACAGTGCAGATACCCATCACAAGCAGCCGTCATAGTTGTTGAGTAAACAATCTGCTTCAGTCAATAGGGCCTGGGTTCAAACCCTGGCCAGGAAACCAGCTATCTTGACTGAGGATTTTCAAATGCTCCTTCGTAACTTCCAGGAAAATTTTAGGACAGTAACTGACATTAGACCACAACTGCTTCCTTCCATTAACTTTCCAATACATTATTCTCTAAATCATGCTACCATTCGATAATAAACAGACCGAGTTGCCAACAACATCATTAAAAAAACACAAATAAATAAACATATTCATCACCCATGAAAGTCATTGTTCATCTGGTTCCACCGAACTTATGAAACTATATATTATGTATTATAAATAATTAAGTTCTGATTAACCTCACACAAAATATGTCAAAATATTCTTCTGTGATGCTTAATCCCATTTATAAACCAAACTGACAGCAATCACTGATACAGATTCTAAAATATTATATCACTAACAACTCAAACTGGGACAACAATGATACTGTACAACAAATGCTACACAGTTCAAAGAATGATTGATTCAGTTAGTGCAGAAGTACATAATTTCTTTAATTCAGAAAATATGAAGTGTTGCCTGGTTTATTACAATGTACAAACATAAAATATAACCATAACTGTAAATAAATTATAATACAATTCAATAGCATAAAAATTGAAAATTACATTTAAATGTAAATGCTTCAGAACAACAAACAAATACTGCATCATGGAATAGCACTGTGCAGAAAGCTTTACCCACTTGCTTATTTGAAATTTACGACATTACTGGAATCCATACCTCTGAAGGTGGTACTGTTGTACTTTTATCATCTGAGATTCCCTCTGTTATTTCGCAGATGTTACCTACATACCAGTTGGTGCTACAGCCCCGGGTGAGCCCTGGCCTCATCTACAACCAGTCTCCACAACCAATGTGTGCTGCCATAGGAATGGATCCAGGCATGATGGCCCAAGGCTGGTTATGTTTCTGAACAAAATTCTTTTTATAGGATGAGGTTGTTAGCCTCATGCCCAACCCCCAACCTGGAGGACCAGGGTATCTCTCTTAGTCTTGACTCTACCCTTTGACCTTCCCAGCATGGGTGACCCTACTGGTAGTTAAACTACCGCTGGCATAGGTCTCCAGGTCACAGAGTCACACAAGCCCCACCACCATGATTTAGCAGATGTTGCAATTATTTAATTTTTAGCTAGCAGACTATACCATGTATTCAAAAACAGGCTAGTCACATTCATGTATGCATATATAACAAGAAAAGGGAACAAATTTACCCATATGCTAAACTGTGCTTTATTATTAGATTGTTTATGTAATTACATACACAACAGAAACCTAGTATTTGAGCATCGGTAGTTACACATGTTTTGGTAAGACAACAAACATTTACAGAACTGTGGACTGTAGTGCCTACAGTTTATGTAATTACATACACAACAGAAACCTAGTATTTGAGCATGGGTAGTTACAGATGTTTTGGTAAGACAACAAACATTTACAGAACTGTGGACTGTAGTGCCTACAGTTTATGTAATTACATACACAACAGAAACCTAGTATTTGAGCATGGGTAGTTACAGATGTTTTGGTAAGACAACAAACATTTACAGAACTGTGGACTGTAGTGCCTACATGAATACCTGAAACAATCTCAAGAAGCAACTGAGAGGGAAGTGTAATTATTATAATACATTCAATATTACTATCAAACATCTTTTCATACCTTGGCTTTTGTCAATAATGAGCCCAATCCCCAGAAAGTTCCTCCACCTGTTGCTGTACCACCAATTCTCTCATATGAGCCCTCTGATTCCACCTACAGAGTAACAAACACAAATGTACTTATAAACATACAGACACACACACACACTGTAATTACTAAGAGAACCCACAAAAAGCTTCACTCAGGGTAGCCAACCTCTAAGTCAAGACTCACTGAACACTCAACTGATTGAGACACATGGTCTGGAAGTACTGTAAAAATGACTGACAGAAAAATGAACACTTTTGGATATGAAATAGAATCTTGAAATAGGTTCATTAAGAGTCTGTTTCATATGCAATACTTTTTTTGGATACAGCCTTCATGTGACAAGCATACTTTGTGTATACTGGCAGTCCGCAAACAATTAGAAATTCACTGTGATCTGAAATATCTGTATATGGCACAGCAAAAGATTTACCTGGATTATCATGTTGATATTATTATGGAAAATAATGTGAAGCAATCTATTATAACATGCAAAAAAAAATCACTGTTAATCCAGTAAAAACAACCTTCATTATGCTAACACCAGATCCAATGTTGACTAGTAAATATGGGAAAATATTTGGATCAGCAGTCTGGAACTTGTACTCAGGATTGCCATGCCGTTGGTACATAAATGCTTCATCTGAGATGTTCTTCAGCAGGAAATTGCAACCTTTGATGAGGCAGCTCATCTCATCTTCCTTGTCAACTCTGTTGAAATGAAGATACCAACTGTACCAGCAACATACTTGAGAATACTTTCACTTAGCTACTATACATAAACTTCCACATTCCAGTAAATGTAAATATTTAACTCTAGTATACATTACACTTCAGGCAATATCTATTATCACTTACAAAAAGAAACTCTTGGATTTTCAAATTACTGCTACAGCACACACATCAGCAGCCAACAAATTAAATGCTTTATAAATCATATGTTGTGTGTTCCTACATTTCTTTCTTATTGTGTTGTCTTAATTTTGATGGCTGTGATGTGTATGTGTGTGTGCATCCACACACACTAGCCACCACAGTGCATGAAACCAAAAACATCAAGAAAACATAAACAGCACAACCACAACAACAAAGACTGAACATAAAAAAAATAAAAAGAAACACGTGGGCTATTCAGAAGGTAACCTCCATTTATTTTAGGCAACTAATGTAGGAGCAAGGAAGAGCTCTTGTATGTGAGGTAGCATCATGTGAGTCATTGCCTTGTAAACCAGCACACAACTGGTCACCCAGTGTTTGTTCTTGTCTGTACAGAGTAAGTTATAATGTGTTCTGTGATTGATAATCCAGCCACCTGCAAAATTCACCTTGTTATCCACTTTCTGCACACTAAAAGCATGAGTGCTGCCGAAATCCATTGTGAATTCTACCCCATTTATGTAATGAGTGAAGGAACTGTAAGACAATGGTGTAGAATGTTCAAAGATGGGCGAATAAATGTTCATGATGAAGAGAGAAGTGGTTGGCCATCTGTAGTGAGTGATTATCTTGTTCAAAATGCCAATCAAACAATTTGTGAAAGATGGCACTTTATAATTTCAAAATTTTCATGTGAATTTCCACTGTTCTCTATGAGATTATCAGTTAGGCAAGGAAATCACAAGTTTTTCGCCAAGATGCTCGTGGGTGCGCACGAAACACAGAAAATGGCTTTGACTTTGACATTTTCAGAGCAATACCACAAAGATGGTGATGAATTTCTGTCACATCGCACGAGTTAACAGGAGATGAAACCTTCATTTCATTTGTATGTTGAAACCAAAGTGCAGTCAAAGCAGTGGATGCACACACATTCACCAAACAAGCCAAGAATGTTTAAACAAACATTGTCTGCGATGGCTGCTGTTTTCTGAGAGAGGAAAGGACTGCTGATGGTGAAATTCATGCAACAAGGGACCACAATAACATCAGAAGTGTATTATGAAACATTAAAAAAACTGCATAGGGCCATTCAGAACATAGGCATGGAATGCTGTCATCCAGTGTACATCTCCTCCATAACAATGCATGTCTGCATACAGCTGCTCGCACTCGAACACTGCTGGAGCATTTCAACTGGGAGTTGCTTGACCACCCTCCTGACAGCCCTGATCTTGCTCTGAGTGACTACCACCTGTTTACCTACCTGAAGAACTGGTTGAGATCACAGAATTTTAGCAGTAATGAAGATCTGAGGGACGGTGTCTAAACATCTAAACATGGATGAGCTCACAGGTGGCAAATTTGTTTGACACAGGCACACAAAAACTTATTCCCTGATGGGACAAGTGCCTCAATTCTGGTGGTGACCATGCTGAGAAGTGTGTACAAACATTTTGCATATAGTAAAAATTCTTCTCTCTTTGCTTATTTTGTTTACAGCTCACCAGAGGTTACTTTCCAAATAGCCCTCATATATGAATGTAACAGCACACCATTTTAAAATATGTAACAGTATTTTAACAAGAATCCAACTTAGGGCTTTAAGAAACAGACTTTTAGGATGACACATCTTGCTTGCCATAAAATACTGAACACAATGTACCTACATGATTCATCACATATACCTGATGATGGCCACACATTGCCAAAGCATGTCTTAAATATACATAAAAACATGGACTAAATGGTGTCCTAACCAACAAGCTACGAAAATGTTGCACTGCAAGACTGTATTACAAGTATATACCAAGGAATCTTGGAACTTTTAGTAACGAAACTCATGTCTGTTTACATATTAGAGAGGCAAATCTAAGTAGATATATATTTATAATTTATTAAATGGCAGCATGTCATGTATAAATAAGACGTCATTTTCCCAAAATTATGCCTGTTTCAGGCCCCTTACACATGCACACATAAACAAAAGTTAAATCTACATGAAATGTATGATTTGTCAAAATGAACATCACACTATACATCTACTGGGCATTAAGCAGGACTGCGAGCAGCAACAGAGTAGGGTATAGTTGCCTCTCACTGCATATAACAGTGTTGTTTCTTTTATATAACTACACATACAAATGTACAGAAAGATAATTTTTGACCAAAGTACAGGAGATAAGGTATAGAGAAATTGTCTGCCACTGTATGAAGTAACCTTCAGTTCAATAAGCCTCTGGGCTTTATCTAGCGTCTGGTGTTCAAAAGAACATTAGCAAATGCCTCCCACCCTTGCACCTGAGGAAAGAAACAAATCAAATTCCCAAAATGATGTATGTGTTACTTTGAATATCACATGATATACAAAATCCAAAAACTCAGTAATCCTGTAGCAATTAACTAGTTTTATTAACACAGGACCACATGATGTATTCCCGTGGATAGAATTAAAAAAAATGTATTGTGCCTAGTCTCCTTGTTATATTCACACAGAACATTTTCACCCTACAAAATAAACAAAGCTCTCATACTAAAACATCACTTTAAAGCTTCCTTAGTGACATATGTTTTGCTTGAAGAAGTAAGATTAATAAGTTTGAAATGGACATCTCAGAGCCATGTAATGACTGTACCAATTTGTTTTATTAGCTGCACTTTCAAGTTTCCATTTATTCTTCATCTGTTTGCAGTAAAACACTGGTGTCTTGTTATTTCAGTATCATTAGTTGTGATGCAATGTATTAGTCACCACTCTTTCTGCTAACTTTCACATAGTTACAATACAATTATCACATACTGATAATCATGAGTACAATAATAAACATCACATGTTTGATCAGCCTTCCAAAGACTGCATCAAGGCCATCTGTGACGTTTCACAAAGTCTTGTCAGGGGGATAATTTTTTCTTCTCATGTGAAACTGTTGCTCATCTCAACCACTTTCCTAAGTTTCATGCAACTCGCTCACTCACGGAGCTGAGCCGTTCTTGAGAAGCCGCCAACTGTGCAGCTACTCAAAAACTTCCTAGCATTTTATGGAACCCAAAAGGTTCATTACTGTATTCACAAGAGCCATCCACTGGTCCCTATACTCAGGCAGATCAATCTCCCTTAAGATCCATTTCCATGCAGTCCAGCCACCTATGTCTTGGTCTTCCTAGTGGTCTCATTCTTTCTGGCTTTCCCTCCAATATCCTATATGCATTCTTCTTCTCCCCCATTCGTGCTACATGCCTTGCCAATCCATTCGCCTTGACTTGATCATTCTAATTATACTTGGAGAAGAGTACAAGTTACGAATCTCCTCATTAAGCATTCTCCAACCTTCTGTCACTTAATCTCTCTTCGGTCCATATATTCTCCTCAGTACCCTCTAAAACACCCTAAATCTATATTACTCCCTTAATGTCAGAGAACAAGTTTCACACCCATACAGAACCACGGGCAAAACTATACTTTTTACATTCTAATTTTTATGTTTTTGGACAGCAGATGAGAAGACAAAAGGTTCTGGGCTGAATGGTAGCAAGCATTATCTGAATTCAATCTCCTCTTAATTTCCTCCTGAATCAGGTTTGATTTATTATAGTAGTTCCCAAATATCTGAACTGTACCACATTTTAAAAAACGTCTGTTAGCTATTTTTAAGTCACAACTTTACCCTGCATTCCAGTGACAAGACAGAAACATATATTTAGTTTAATATATTTACTTCTTGACCAACCTCCTTACTAGCATCAGTTAAAGTGTGTGGGTTTTTCTTTATTGTATCTATATTATCACCGAGTAGATTCACATCACCAGCATAGACCAGCAGCTGTGCCCCATTTAATTTCAGTCCCACATGGTTTTCCTGGACCTTTCTAATGGCATACTCTAAAGCAAAGTTGAAAAGCAGTGGCAATAAAGCATCACCATATTTTAGACCATTCTGGATAGGAAAATTATCAGACAAATGTTTACTTACACGGACTTTACTAAATATTTCGTTTAAACCCATTTTAATCAGCCTAAATAGTTTCATTGATATCCAAAATTCTATGAGAATACTGTACAATACTTCACTCCTGACTGAATCACAGGCATTCTTGAAGTTTACCAATAGCTGATGTACTGCCTCATTGCATTCCTATTTTTTCTTGCAGTATCTGATAAATGCAAAATATCTGATCAGTAGTTGATCTGTTATGTTGAAACCCACACTGATGATCCCTAATAATTTCATCTATATATGGACTTAACCTTGAGAGTAGAATATTGGATAAAATTTTGTATGAAGTTGTTAGCAGTGATATCCCACAGTAATTACTACACTCAGTTTTATCATCCTTCTTGTGAACTGGTAAATCAGTCGACTCCTTCCACTGATCAGGCAATTTTTCCTTATTCAAAATAGAATTAATCTGCATATGGATCTTAAAACATAGTATTTCACCTCCTGCTTGAATCAGTTCTGCTGGAATTTCATCACTACTTGGTGATTTATACCTTTTCAACTTTGCAATAGCAATTTCAACATCAAAAGTGCTAGGACCAGGTGCTAATGGCTCAGCTGTATGTATTTCCATCTACCTAACATCACTGATTCTATGTACATTCCATAACTGAGAGAAGTGGTTCTTCCACTTATTCAGAATGTTTTGGGAATCTCACACAACAAACCAGTAAAATTTAACATTTTGATTACTTTTCAGGCTGATTTCCATTTTATTTGAATGATAAACTTATTTCAAACTTACATTTAAATACCCTGTGTCTATTACTAAAAGGCAAAAAAAAAAATCTGGTTCTGAACATGCTGATGAATACAAACATTTCAGTCATTTACCATTTTTCTTCTGACTTGGTGTTTATGAATGCGAAATGAGCAACAATTTCCTAAAAAATTTCTCAAGGATTTGAAATTATGAAACTTTTCACAGATTTTATATTTTTCTTGGTACTAACTACTGTAACTGTCCTTCATGTCTACATTGGCTCTTCTTAAATCCAGCTGGAAGTGCCTTAGAATGATGTAGTAAAACCGGCTAACTTGTAAGTATTGAATATTACAGCAAAACTTTATTTTAAATCCTTATATAATATTATGTTATAAAATAATTTCACTACACTATTCCCTGTGTATACAATGGGGTACTTTCAGAGTGGATATACATAAATTAACACTTATGACATGATGGCATGACAATAATAAAACTACACACTACACATTCCATTTCCAAAATTATTTCACATGTTCACTAAGGGTATATCTATTCTACCTCATATCATTCCAACTGATTATAAATTAAGCTTACGAGAGTCCAAGCTTCTGTTGAAGAAGTTCAGTGTATTTGTATGCTCCACCACCTGTTGCTTTGATGCTCTTGCCAATCATCTTGTCCCGAGTGTTAACCAAATTCACTTGAACGAAGTCCAGACAACTTTCAATATACTTTGTTTCAAATTTAACGAAATGCAGCCTTGCTCCTTCTGAGACTTCATACACACGATGGTCCTGCATCAGTAATATATAATAAGGTATATATTTTTATGATTATTATTAATGTACTGTTGGATTATTCAAAACTAAGAAGACTGAGCTTACACGATACAGAAACTGCAAATATAAGCTTCTGCATAAAACAGGAAACTCTATGGGAGAATGCTGTAATTACCATTGTGTACAGTTACTGTTATGAAAAACTGATACGATTTTTAAGAGAAAATGCGATAATTTAAATTACGCGTTATTTAGAAGGCACATGTCCATAGTGAAGAGACTCCAAATATCATCAGTTCTTCAGGCACTACATTTTTCCCCTTCTTGAACAGTTTTTTGGCATAACCAATAACAATTAATGTCACACTCTGTCACAGATACATTTTCCCCTATCCCATTTCCAGCACAATGATAAAATAACAGAGCAAACTGAATATGTGGACCAAGAACATGGCACCCACACCCAAATGTAAACAAGTAAGAACACTGATCCATGTTGCACTTACAGAGCATAAGTAAAGTAAAGATATCCCTGTAACAGGCCATGGAGGCCCACAGGATTGTGAGATGTTGAGGTTCCCACATTTTCTAGACAATCGGCTCACAGATGGCGGTAAGTTTGTGAGCCTTACGTGCCAGCCACCCTTTACCCCCAAGAACATTCCAAGAATATTCCTGGTATTCATTTCCACTCATTTCTCTTAGAGGCTGAGTCGACCCCAGGGCCATTGTGCAGCTGAAAGGATTAGGTAAACTGAAAAAATCCACCTCATCGGGATTCGATCCTGCAACCTTCCAGCTTGTAGCATAGTCCCTTAACCAACTATGCTACCGCATACCTCTCAGTACATATGTAGGAACAATTAAAAGCACAAAGGTCATCTATGATATGGAACTCAGAAACATCCAATGTCAGAAATTTACCTGTAGAAGTAAAAGTAAAGATAAAGCTGTCCTAGTGCTTAAGCACCATGATATCAATACACACAGGGAAGTGGATGAGACATTCCTAACATCAGACGTTAGCAGTCAAGAGGTCAGCTCCCGACTCTAGAAACCTCAACCTCAGTACAATGGGACCCCAGTAACCAATAGGCATGAAGCTAGGTGAGTCCCAGAGCCAGTGTGGACATGTTGAGAAAGAGAACAATCCCTGTCCTTGCTGTAAATCATACCTTGCCATCCAGCCTGTAGCCAGTCACTTCACAGGCTGAGCTATTCTAGTGCCTGTGCAACAAGAAATTTGTGTTATAGGGCAGCATACAAAACAGTAATAAAATTAATATACCTCATCAGCAGACTGCAAAGACTGTCCATCTTCTTTCTCTGTTTCATAAATGACTCGACGATGAGATACTGTTGAATAATAGGCAATTTTGGTGAGAGACCCACCTGAAAAATAAATTTGTATATATATTTATTTATGATGGTCAAAAGCCAAATACAGTATTCACTGCCTTAACATTATAATTATAAAATATACCAGCTTAATTTTTTTTTTAATTTTTCCACAGCCTTCACGCCAGTTTTTTTAATTCGCTTAGTGGGGGGTGGAGTCCAACTGGGTCCACTCAGCACAGTGGCCACTGATTGGCCTATTGTAGCCTGCCCCAGGTGATTATGATGATGGAGAATTTGGTGGAATGAAGACTGGCTGGGGAAACTGAAGTACTCGGAGAAATGCCGCCCCAGCGCCACTTTGTCCACCACAAATCCAACTTGACCAGACCCGGGATCGAACCCGGGCTGCCACGGTGGGAAGCTATCGACTAACCGCTTGAGCTATGGCACAGCTTTTGCGCCAGTTATTTGTCTGGTTAAAAACTACAGTTTATACACATGACTGCACACAAAGCTTTTCCAATATAAGCTAAGTCTCTACAGGTCTTCTATAAGACAGGATTTACTGAGGCTATATAGTTTCAACATGGAAAGCATCCTTAAATAACCCAAGGAGAATAAAAAAGGATTTATGTGGAACTCTCAATGTAGCTAGGGTACAGAGGCAGGCTCTTGCAAACATGGTATTCAACCTTCAGTTTCCATAAAAGGTGGTGAATTCACTGAACACCTGGGAGACTCTCAGTTTATCAATAAGCACTGTGCCATGGAGTTGGCACCTTAGTTACAAAATTGTGAATGACGTGACACACTCTGAAGAAGTATATAATAGCATTAACAGGGATGAAATTTGAGCAGTAGCTCAGATGAAATACAATCCCACATATGATGAATATTATTGATGCTTAAAAAAATTATGAGCAGTACCGAGTGCTTCTTAAAATCTGATGGAGCTCTCTGGGATTGTTGCCACTCCAATAGTGCATAATCTGCTTGTTGACATATCCAGATAGGTGAAAATGTGCCTCATCACTAAAGAAAACAAGTGCATCAGGGGATAAAGTTTCCAATAACGTTTCGCAAGCCATTATCCGGTTCTGGAAATCACATGGTGACAATTCTTGCACAACAACCATCTTATAGGGATGGAAATTAAAATGTTTGTGAGTAATTCGGTGCATTGAACGATTGGATATGTCTAGGGTGACTGCATGTTTGCGAGTGGAGTGTCTTGGCGATCTCAAAATCGACTGTCGAACTGCCTCCACATTTTCTGGCGTCGTAACGGTCCGTTGTAGTCCTGATATTTTCACCACACTCCCGGTTGTCTTAAAGTTCTCTACCCACAAAACAAACGATTTCTGGTCAGGAACCGGACCTCTGGGCTTAATTCTGAAGTGAGTACAGAATGCACGCTGCACTGCCACGTAGGAATGGTTGTTTGAAAAATAGGCTTCGACAGCAAACGCACACTGCTCATTCGTCCAACTCATGTTTCCTACTGAGGGGTATTAGACAGAAACTTCCATGACTGCTGCATTCACCGAGCCTATCCCCACTTTTCTGTGACCTCCCCTCCCTTCACAATGCATCTTCACAAAAAGAAAGTTTCTGCGCCCCATCCTGTATTTTAAACCTACAATGACACATGGTGTTGAAATATGGGGTGTCTACGAAAAGACAGGGATAAAATAAAAATTATGTACATTGGGAAACAGGCTGAATGGCCAGAAATTCTTCTCTTCTCTACAGCATCCAGAGAGACCCTGAGGTTCACCCAGCCTTCTACACAATGTGTACTATGAACTCTCTCCCCGGGGCTAATGCATGTGGGGCATGAAGATGACCACTCACTTCCACCTAATGTTGGGGTCAAGAAAGGTGGAGCTATACCTTCACACCTCCCATGTCTTCATGGAGTTGTGCTTAAATATTTAAACACAGGGACAGCTTTACTTCCTTATCTTTAATGAGCATGTAAGAAGATGGATACAAACCAAATACCTCCTTCTACCTGGCATTATAAGGAAGCATTATAAGATTCAAAGAATGGCTCAGATAGAAAGATGACTAAAGTGACAAGCAATAAAAACAGAGGAGACACATAGAATCAAGTATAAAAATTGAAACTGATACGCTTAATTCTTGAACCAACTGATGAACCGGCATTCTATGCATCAGGCCTATAGACATAAGGCTTTGGGGAGGGGGGAAAGAATAAGAAGAAATTAAAAAAAAAGTAGATATCTGCAGACACTTTATTCACTGACTTAAACCTTTTGTGAAAATGATGCCAAAATAAAATGCAACTTTAAGACACAAACAACAGCGGATGGGACTGACAATTTACGCATGCAACAGCAAGAAAAACTGTAATGTATTGATGAGAAAAACGGTAACAAGGGCAATTCCCAGCAAAGGGTTACACATTTTAGCATGGCTTGTGAAACTAAGCATAGAACATGTTGTTATTTATCTTTATTTTCTGCATCCTGTTGTGTATCATGTAAAAAAGGTACACTCATGGGTTGTCAACACAACAGTTAGTTATAAACTGATGTTAAATGTTTTAATATTTGTGTTATAACCCAAATATAAAACATTTTAAATATTGGTTTATAATCAACTGTTGTGAGGATGGCCCTTATGTTATTACTTGTCCAATATACAACACATCCTACCATAACTGTTTCTCAGACATTACTTAGTGATGCCAACACTGCATAAAAGTTACCAGTGCAGATACTGTTCATACCAATGTGCTTCTTCAAGGAGTGCATTTATTACAGGGCAGGTTATGTTAGGTTTAATTCTGTTAGTTATGGGATTTTGAGTTTCTCACAATGGTGACTATGACAATTACTGTCTACTGGAACTGATGATACGCGGACTTGAAAAACATTCCTCTGAATGATCTACCAAACTACATACATGATGTCACATTCCAGAAGACAGTAATATCCACAGTTAGTTCAGTTTTTCTTAAATTACTTCTCTTTTTAGACATTTATGATATTAAAATATTGCCTTGTGACTAGTGTGGCAGGAGGTAGCTGTAACATAAATTGCACTATCATATGTGTTAGTTCCAGTAACCAAAAGCAGAATCCAAACTGAATGACAAGGAATGGGTTAAGGATACTTAGCAGAATTCTGTGTCTAATAACAGACTTCATAAAAAAAAAAACATTAGACCTGTCCATGATTCTCAATTCACATTTTCGGTCACAATGTCTCACATGTTGTCACTATAGTCAGATGTCGGATTTCAAGTTGTCATAAGAGAATACAGTCTTCTGGGTGTGATGCCATACAGTCTGGTACTCTTTTGGAGGAACCCGCTGCCTCCATCGTCAAGGTAGTTCTGTCCTGAAGATGAAGGCAGCATGTCTCAGTGTCACATCCTAGATGATCACAATCTTAAAGCATTTTAATAAAAAATAATAACACTTCATGTTATCACCCTAAGTACACATAAGAAAAGAATATCAGGTTAGTCTTGTGATTCATTTCCAATCCCTCCTCATTAAAAATGCTTCCATCAATTTTCATTATTAACATATGATCTATGCAAGACTTTGCTAATCACACTGCATTATGCTTGTATCTGTCTGCTTGAGGGTTACGTCATGATGATAGTTGAAGTCAGATAGGCACTTCAAAAACATTCACACCACACAACTGCTGTACAGGCAGGGACTTCATTGTATGATGTTATCATGCTGCCTTATGTCCACTGGATGTTACAGTACACTAGTCCTGGCCAGCTCACTTTCCAAACATATTTGCAGCATCATATATTGAAGACTCTGTACATAACCAAATTTTGGTACATTAAGATGCACATCACCATACATCTTCAACTTAACTTTATATATTACATATATCGTGCATTACGAAATATCACTGTTTTTGTTCATGGTTTATTTAGCGACAATGACAGTGGCTCGGACTATGTATCACTGAATTACAGGATCATTGAATGATAAACTGGGCAGAATATGGTAAGAAGCAGTCATAATATAATTTGAGGTTCTATCCTGGCCGATTCCGGGAGGGGCTGGGTAAAATCACGAAAACACTCGACCACTATAGTTGCTGCCCCGGCCGACGTTCGAATCGGGCAACTCCCAAATATGAGTCGAATGAATTTACACTTAACCATATTGCTTGGTGAAACCTCCATGTTAGTACTATCGCAGTGCTCTAAACACGAATAAATCATCTACTTCTGATGGATTCAAGCACACGGCTGTAAAATTATTTGGTATATATTATTCTTTGTGTTATCTATGAAAAAAGTGCAGTAGTTACAATTATATGTACAAAATTCTTTGGCAACTTACCTATATCAATTGCGAACCTTTTCGCATTTTTTAAGTTACCAAAAACCTCCACAGTGTCCGGTAATTCAATACTTTTCGGATGACTCTGTGTATCCATTCTGTTCTGCACACATCAATTATACAAGGTACAGACATAACTTCGCCGATTTCACGGCTGGGAAGAACACGAAGACACGCTCTGCCAGTTCCAACAAAGGAAACAATAGTACCATATATCTTCCTACATAATAATAAATATACTTATATAATCTCACTTTTACTACACTCAGCAAATCATCCTTACTACACGCATTTTGTACTACTCACTTCTGCTACCAATTCCATATGTCATCTGAATTCACCAATGAGAGAACAGAATACTTCTATACGTTCTATACGATGAAAAAACCGCAAACAAAACAAGAGTGCGTCCGTGCCGGTCACTTCTTCTTCTTCTTCCTCTTCTTCTTCTTATTGTTGTTGTTATTGTTGTTGTTGTTAATCTGCGTTAATTGATATTGTCCTGTCCTGATTTAGACAAGGAATTGTTGAGTTGCGGATTCTACGAATGGGAAAGTCTATCCAATAACCAAATTAAATACATATAAACTTACACATTAAATACTAGAAGACCTCAAACAGCAAAATTCATACTGTAGAAATATTCTGCGACCTTACCGGGGTTTTTGACAGTGTCAGTCATATGCCGTTGTACACAGAATCCATAGAATTGCCTTGGTACATATCGGTACATATTAAATTGGAATGCAGGCTTCATAAACTTCATAAAGTGGAGGTAGATGGCAGACCATCACACGAAAAAAATCCTGCCCCAGCAAGAACACTCAAAAGACAGCCACAGCCACCAAACCAAACCAAACTATAATACAAATAAAACAAATAGGTGCAGCTCAAGGGCACCAAAATTAAAACAGTTAACCAAATTAACCAGAAGTAATCTGAGGCAACTGCATAAGAGAAACAAAAACAGCTCTACAATGTACAGCATTAACCACAACAAACTGTACACCCAAAGATGGCCAGATAGGCTGAAAGGGGATCAAGCATGTACTGTCAGTAATGAAAGCCAGCAAGTGAATAGCAACTGAAGTTGCACCTAGATGGCATAAACATAAAACTCAAAAGTCATCTATGCAGCACAACAGGCTGCAATATAACATTCGGAGATAGAAAGTTATGATAAGAACTTACACATGATAACACATGTGACACTGAGATAAGTACACAACCCACAAGACTTGGTATGAATGCAATCTCAAAACCTGTGCTGTTTGCTGATGATACTGATATGTCTCTAAACCCTGTGGAGTGTTATGAAGTTATCAGGCCAAAGGTTAAATCAAATGAACAAGTTGTTCCTGGTTAATAAACTTTAATTACCAACAAAACAATAGAAGTTGCAAGCAACAGCAAACCCAGTTATTACTATAATATGTATGTAAAACTCTGCGTGCCTTCCACTGGTCTTGGGCGGGCAGGAAATACACAAACAATTTGTTTTTAAAGGTGGTATTTCAATAAACTCAAAGTGAACTATAAATATATTGCAGGGTTCAAGGTTCTCACAACAATGATTATGAAGAATTCTGTCTTCTGGGATACAATGTTATATAGTCTGATGAAATTCAGCAGATATTTTTGAGGAACACATTGCCTCCATCTATAAGACTGAAGAATAAGCCAAACAAGAAACAGCATGGAAGCAAGTGGCAAGCAGAGCTTGCTGTGAGGCAAAATTCCTCTGAAATGTTGGTTGACTTTCAGCAGACTACACTGTATTATATCCTAGAAGATTGAACTCATTATAAAAATATTCTTAAACTGCTTAAACATATGAAGAAAGTCGTCTTCTGGGTTTAGGCACCGTGTATTCTTCGTTTCGGCCGACGTTTCGGAGGAACGTAGCGCCTCCATCTTCAGAGCAGTTGAATGGCTGCGGAGAGCAGTAGCTGTGGTGATAGGATGTGGAAGGTGCTGCTTATATACGAAGTAGGCAGGGGGGGTGGTTAGGGAGAACGGACCAATAGGAGCAGTGGACAGCGATTAAGGCCATATATGGTGTTGTGTGCTAAAGGAGGGGGAGGAACGACCAGTGAATCCAGGAAACTTGAGGTCAATAGCACTAGGAAGTGCGGTAGACAAGAAGAACCGGTGGTTGGGGACAGGCTACTGACGTCAATGACATGATACAGGGGGACAGGCTACTGACGTCAATGACATGATGAAGAACTGGGGTGGGTTGTTAGATTTCTCTTGGTGGTAGAAATGAGTGGCTTCCATGACCTGTTGAGACTGAACCCTGTTTCCTTGTTCATATTGTTTGGATGGANGATTCCAAGTTTCATAAAAAAAGACTATGCTGTATGTAGTTAGTTGCTATGGAAAAGGAATTTACCTTTGAAGAAAGTCGTCTTCTGGGTTTAAGCGCCGTGTATTCCTCGTTTTGGCCGACGTTTCGGAGGAACATATCGCCTCCATCTTCAGAGCATGTGAATGGCTTTGAATGCAGAGAGCCATTCACCTGCTCTGAAGATGGAGGCAATACATTCCTCCGAAACGTCGGCCAAAACGAAGAATACACGGCACCTAAACCCAGAAGACGACTTTCTTCATAGTCATCGCCGTGAAAACCTCAAAACTTACACAGAATTTACTTTTATTTGTTACAGCAACTCTTACACTGAAGAATGAAGCCAGAAATGAAAAATCAATGTATTTCTGTTTCCATAGACCAACTCTAGTTTCTATTAATGCTAGAAGAGATTTTTATGACTTAATGTATCACGTAACTGCTGTTAGCAATTAAAGAGCATTGTAACAGTATGACATGTTATAAATTTCCAGCAGACATGTCAGAAGGTATGCCTGTCAACACCAAATCCCTTAGCACATTCAGTCTAAACAAACTGACACTCAGATTCCTTTAGCAAGGATAACTTTAGACAATAAATTAATGTTAAAATTTAAAAATATATAGGCTAAAGTTGTCCCTGTGATTAACTAGTTAGGCACTATGCCATGAAGATGTATGGGGGAGTGGTTGTATAGATCCATGTATTCTGGACCTCAGCACTAGTTGGAGGTGAGTGGTCACGTTTACGTCCCGGCCACTTTACCCCAAGGGAAGAGCCCATTACCATATAAACTGTGATGTGAACACTGACAAGCAGACATACGCAAGGGGTACCACAAACTTTTCTCAAACTTCACCTTGATGAAACGTTCATTTTATAACTAAATGTGATTGCTGAAGAGTTGCATATGAGCAATAAGGTGCTAAAGTGAGGAGAAGGGGAAACAAAACATAATACTGTCAGGTGATGATAGTGTGACTATAGCCAGAATTTGAATTGATAATTGGATTTATTGCACACTTACAGATAGTAAATACAAGTAACCATAGGGCTATCACTAATTCACACACTCTACAATTCACTACAGCATGCACTAAGTCTTCTCAGTCTGCTGCATCTTCACTGGTTGTCACCTGGTAACAGCTTTCAGTGCTGTAGTTTTCTCAGCTTCCATGTTCACATCCTTACTGGCCAGCACCTATCTCAAAACCCATTCATTGCCCCGCCTTACTAGCTCCAAGGCTAGCGGCCATCTCAGACCAACCTCCTACTCATTTCACTGCTGTTTCAAGACTTTTGTAATCATAGCTACTGCTCGTTATACACGTATAACCTTGGTATGGACCGCACAGAAAATGCCACTTCCAATAGTTCTTCTGTTGTTGCGTGCATGTCTGCTGTGGCTATTACCCAGCAACAGCTGTTGTATGGCTACTTATTTCCCAGCCAATGCCTTGCAACAGATCTGCATGCCATAATACATCCAATTTTCCACACGTAATGATATAACAGACAATCAGGTACTCAGTTAATATTTTTTGGTGGCTAGATGTAAAATATTCTAGGCTGAAATGTTTCTTATTGGGGCCTACATCACCATACAACCAAGCTGTTAGCAAAAGGGACAGTAAATTCTATGTGGTTCTTATAAGATGGTGTACAGTGTTAGGGGTATTGGAATCATTTTCTTGCCAGACAATATCTGAGCTCATCTAGACACTCTATAAGATGCTAAAGAGGACTTGGTACTGAATTTGGCTATGCCAAGAAAATAATGGTGTACTGATTGCATGCACAAATTTTGATTTATTGTCTAATTCTCTATATAGGAAGACAGAAATTATTTGGATTTATTTTGTAAGCATTTGTTATCACACTTCTTTACATTGAGAATTCATCGGGATACTTCTATTCATCAAGAGCTAGTTCTGTTTCTTTTGTTCATAGCAGTTTCAGAACTCTTTAACACCTAAGAAATAGTAAGCCTAATTTATAGCTAAAAGTAACAATATCATGAGACAGTATCTGTACACACTAGTCAAGAGAGGAGAGTCTGGACAAAGTCACACAGATTTCAAGATCGTGATCACAGTTTTTCCCAACTTGTTTGAAGTTTGGCCATTGAGAAAAGGCAATAAGAATGCATATTCTTACCATCAGAATGGCAAAACTTGGTTGCCAATACATCAAGAAAATGTAATATAATAAATGTAACTCAGGGTATATTCCTTGACTCCACAGTGTTTAAAAGAATATTTTTACTAAGAAACATAAGCAGATAAAATATCGGGTTTATGAATTTAGCAAAGACTGCAAGAAAGGAGTATATTGTACTCCAAGTGCATTGGTCTCCTCATTGAAGCATTCCAATTGGAATGTACCAGGAGTAACAAGCTTACTCTTCCAAATAAAACTGTACAAAAGACCATTGAAAATTACCACATGCAAACTGAAAGATATCTTAAAGCTGGTAAATGGTTATCTGTCACCCAATTAACTTATTTTCTATCATACTGTAAGATTCTTTGAAAAAGACACCAAAACTTCTGGCAGCAAAAGTGAAGAGTATGGGTGAAAAACATGTGACTTCGTAATTTGCTGGATTTGAATCTACTGATTTTATTTTATATGAAAATACAGAGTGTGAAGTATTTGTTTCTTATATATTTCCATTTTCTTATTGTCACATGTAGTATGTGTGACTACAGATGGGGTTTGAGTTGGTTAATAGATTTATTGACCATCAACATGTCATAACTACAAATAACTATAACACTATCCCTATTTCCACACTTTACAGTTCACCAGAGCACACAGTCTAGTGTTCTCAGTCTGTTACTAGACATTTCCTGGTAACAGCTCCACCAATGGCTATACCTCCAGCTGAAGTTCTCTCTTCACAGACTCCCATACAGAAATGCCTAAGCTCTAACTCTGTCCCTTGCTTATATAAGATCTCAGCATGGACCACATAAGAAACACAGCTCTTCCATTGTTGTGTTTGTGTCTGCTGCTGCAGGAATGTGGTTACTGAGCCGTTTCCAAGAAATGACCCTGGAATATCTGCCCATCTTGCAGTAGCTGCATAGCAACAGCTCTACATGCTGCAATATATTATTACCTGCACATTACACAATTTAATATGTATAAATTTGTCCAAATTTAAGATATTTTACTGTTATGATGAGAGCTCCAAAGCTTTTCTGAGTCTCAACAATTAAAAGTAACATTATAATGAGCGATATGATGACACAAAACCAATGGTTAGTGGTGCCTGATATGAAGAAAAGACAACTTCATATGAAATTTTAAAGATGTTTTTTGTTGAGTACACTATTTTGGAATGTAACACTGTATAGTCTGATACAAGTCCTTTTGTATTCCTCTGAAACTGCACTGTATGGCATTACACTTAAGCATGTGACAAGCTACAATCCAACACATTTTTTTTTTTTTTTGTTATTTTCCAAAAGTGTGTTAAAGTGGAACTGTGTCTTTCTTGTACTGTACTCTTCAATTGTACTCTTCAATTCAAAGTTTATCCCATATGTCCTGCTTATTAACATAATATTATGTGTTGAATAATAATTCAAACCTTAACTCCCAGGATCAATATACAATGTAATTCCCATTTAAGATCTGCTTTTGGGACAAGATTTATGTTCTTTAAATAGGGATTATATACAACTTAAACACAATGACACTCTATTGTTAATTACAAATAGCTGCTTGAACCTAAAAATGAGCAAATATTTGTTACACAATCTAAGAAAAAACAAAATATAACTTCAATTTTAAATTATTAATTTTAATTGATGCTTCACTCAACAAGACAATACAGTGCAACAACTTACAATATACAGATGTACGTGAAGATACCCATATGTGGCCAAAATATGTTGTACTAAAGGTGCAAACAAGTGAATTTAACTTGACAGTGTGAAATAATCACATAACCATCTGAATATTAAACAAAAGTTGCAAATACAGAGTGTGGCAAAGAACCTATTTCCAAAAGCATATAAAGCAGTGAAATTTTGTCTTATTTTTTAATTTATTGATATAAAATGAATGCACACTGAATGCCATTTTATTCCACATATATTTCATTACAGCTTCAAAGAAACAGGGTCCTAGGATTCCGAAGACTGCTACGCTATAGGAGTCACACATGCACTGTGAAGAGGTTGCTGCTGAAGCTGCTGTGGGCTTTCTTCTGCCCAGTAGTGAAAATTCTATTTATTGACAGAGCCTTCGGCTGTCATAAGGATAATGCTCAGCTACTGTGCTATAATTTGCCATGTCATGGTTGCTTAACTCTTGCACCACCACCATTTTTTAGAGATGGAACTTCAGATCCTTGTGTAAACTTCTCCAAGTGGTTAGTCGCTGGCTTCCCACCGCAGTGGCCCGGGTTCGATCCTGGGTCTGGTCAAGTGGGATTTATGGTGGACAAAGTGGCGCTGGGGCAGGTTTTTTCTGAATACTTTGGTTCCCCTGCCAATCTTCATTCCACCAACTGCTCCACAATCACCCTCACCTATCATCTGGGGCAGTGGCAGTAGTACAAGGGACTTAGTCCCACCCCAATAGCAATTAAAAAACTTCTCTTCATGCTGTGACCGGATATTCATAGAGGAATAGAATGTCTCCTGGCTGAACACCTAGGACTCCTTATGAATAACTGCCTTACAGCCTCAGTGTTCTATGGTGAACACACTGTCCACACACTGCCTGGTGGTTTCTGTTATAATGCAGAAGCACTCGTTCTTAAGTTTTCTATGCATAACTGTATGGTATTGTGGTTAGGAACATTTCTGTGATGAGCAATATTGAAATGCTTGCAAAATATTCACTGTCTTCTAACAACACAGAAGCCATTTTTGAAAAATGTTTCAACAATAAGCACATGATGTTGCACGCTCTGCTGCTCCATGGTTACTGCAATGGCATCAGTTAAGCCTGCAAATGACATGCGTGTATGTCCAATTATGCAGCACTGTTCATTGTAAAAAAAGGTGTAATCAACATGGGAATTAAAATACACAATTTAACCTCTGAATTAAAACAAATAAAGAATTTTAAGGTTTTTAAAAAAATTGCATAGTTATAGTATAACTATAGTATATAGTATATATAGTATAGTATAACACACGCAGTCACAGGAGCAAGACACAACACAAAGCACAACACACACATGAAAGTAGGAAGAATACTCCGATAGAAGAAGATAGATGTGACTCGCATATTGAGATACGACATAAGGATGACAAATCCTGAACAGTCTTAATATTTAAAATTTAGCAATATATATGACAAATATATATTTCAGTCATTTTAGTATAAAGACAACAGGGCATGCAATGAAGTAGTTCGACGTACATAGAAAAGCACCTGAAGATGGCACTTTAGT